GTACTGTGCTGTGCCCATTGCCTTCCACTGTGAGGCCCTCACAAGAGTCACACTGATGCCACGGTTATTCCCTTGAAACTCCGGAACTGTAATCCAGATGTACCTCTTTCTTCACAGTTATAGGTCCTTTACTTCAGTAACAGAAAGCCAGCCTACAGTCTCTGTGTAGATAATGGGAACTGCAAATGAGAGTATATGGGGAGGGGGTTATTGGGACTTCCTACAGAGGCCAGTTAAGAGATGAAAGAGGTTTGAAACAAGAAGAATATGGTGAAGAGGCATATGGACCTGCCACCTGGCTGGTCTGGCAGTGAGAAAACCAAGTCCAAGGCCTTCTTACTCTTCACAGGCTGAAGGTTGTATGTGCAAGCATGTCCTTGGGAGGCGTCTTGAATAGGGTTAGTGTGAGCTGGTCAGTAGAAACTTAGGCTGAATGTTGGCTAAAAGAAGATGGGGAGGAGGTTGAGAGGGAGGCACCCAGGGCAGAGATTGTGATCATGGCTTTGGTGGAAAGAGACTTACACTCAGTCTTCGGATTTGTCCCCTAGCACTTTTTCCTGCAAGCAATGCTTTATGGGCATACTGATCATAAAACTATTTTTGTTTCTTGGAACTTAAAAAAAATAAATATGTTTTTTAAAATGCAACAACTTGCTTCAACAGCTTAAAATTAGAGCCTTTTCAAAGGAAGGTTGTACAGAGGACTTGGCTCAGTTAATGGAAGGAAGATTGGTTTCAAGTTTAGCTGTACTGATTCTTGCAATGTCCCTGTTCCCCTTACAAATCCCACCTAACACACACACACACACACACACACACACACACACACACACACACACACACACACACACACACACACACACACACACACACACACACACACACACACACACACACACACACACACACACACACACACACACACACACACACACACACACACACACACACACACACTCTCCCCCCCCAGCATTTACCTCCGCCTGTCTTCTACAAGTTCCTAAGCAAATCAGCTACCTTTACTTAATCACCTTCTGCTTAAAATGGAAGGAACCTGTGTTCAGAAGTCATTTTCACCATTAGGAGAGTTAATCTCAGGGAACAAGCATCCTTCATCATTCCCCGGAGTGTCTTATATGCTTTGCCGAGTGTTTTTGTTTGTTTGTTTGAGTCATGTAGGACTTTGTTACTTACCATTCATCATGATAGTTTCTAATGGTTTTTGTAAGGCTGGGAAGGTATGTTGCATGTCATAAGAAAATCTTGGGTTTGTTTCTGAAAGCCACAATAGCCTGCTGACAGCATCTAACATCTCCTCTTAGAAATTACTGCATTTCTTGAGCACCTGCTCTGTGCCCTCTGTTGAGCTTAGGGTTTTTGCTCAGTTGACTGCCAGGGTATCCTTCCAGGGGGTAGGTCTGGCATTAGAATAGGAGGGAGTGGAGCTCACAGAGATTCAGTAGCTTGTTCAGGGTTGCTCACCCAAAGCTTTTGATTCTTTGTGCAGTCTGGTTTTTGTTTTTCCCAAGTTGATAGAGCAGGAGCATTGTACTCTAGGCTATAAACAACATGAGTTTAGATGGTTCCTGGACAAGACTGAGGGAAAAAGTGGAAGCATTTGAACGGAAACTTATTTTCAGTTATGTCCTAATTCTCATGATTAGTCCATTAGAAAATGGGCTTGGTGTTAGTATGGTTATAGTATGTGTTGACTTTTGCCCTGATCTCTCTTTTTTTTTTTTAACGAAGAGTGTTGATGTGGGACGTAGCACCCTCAAAAGTATTTTTTTTTATCAAGTATTTAATGAAATAGTTTTGATTAGGTCATCAATTTCTAGAACATTATATAGGTTTCTCTCATGCTAGAAATATAAAGTGAACTTTTAAAGAGAAGAATGAAGAGGAAAATAAAGAAAATACGGAATGAATTGGAGTCCAGGAATATGAGCTTAGCTATAAAAATCATGAACCTGTACTTGTTGGATGAACTTGAGAACAATTACGTTCATTCTTGTTTCCTTCCTGGCTGTAGGACACGTGGGCTCCCATGTGATCATCTCAACACAAAATCCTGATTTTCTTGTTTGTTTCTCTGAGAAACAGCTGAAAGCAATCCAGAATGCAAGTTGTCCTTGCCCTTGGGACCAGTAGACTTCCTTCTTAAGTTTACATATTATAACCCAAACAATAATGGAGTCTTAAGACCTAGGAAAAAATATGTAAGTTTATTGCAAAAGATAATATCCCTTTTAAAACAGTTTAGAAATTTACAAAACCTTACATTAGTATATCGTCTTTAAGAAGGTGCTCTATAGATGAGCTGGTATTAAGTTCCAAGGATAGTGAGTATGCATTTTTCAACTACAGAGGAAGCAGCTACATAAACTCCTGCAATTTAAGTTGATGTATTGGACTTTTCCCCCTTCAATTGTATAAAAGTAATTTTTGCTAAATGAATATTTTTCATAAAACCATATAACCTCACATATAGCATTTCTGTAGACTATCATGGTAGATGTTATATATTATTTTTACAAAGAAGCAGTGTTTTTCACAGGAGCATATGAGTGTAGAGTTTTTGTAAATGTGTTAATGATTTTTTAAACATAGAGATGATCACTCTTGTCCAGCAGAATCTTGTTTTACAAATCCTTTTTCCCCCATAATCATTTTAAATGTTTAATTTTCAGAAGAGAACTCCTTTCCAGTTTCAGAGAAGTGACCCAAGCCATGCAGCTGTTGTGCTTTGGTATAGAATTTTTATCACCTCGGTTTATTTTATTTCTGGAAATACCAACAGTTTCCACCCTGATTCCATTTAATTCAATTGAAGGTTTGGGTGAGATCCCCAACTCCTCAGAGCTGTATGGATTCATGAGTTTCTTAATTTTGTATGAGTTAGCTCAAACATTTTTTCATAATTCCAGGCTAACTTTGGCAAATGATCCAGCTTATTTCTGAGTCATTCTGCTCATTTGATAGTGGATGGTGCAAAGATCTTTATAGCAGAGTAGGTATTTTTATCGCTGTTCAGGAATGGTCAAACAGACCCTGAAACTTAACCAGCTTGCTAAAGGCTAGTATAATAAACTGTTCTGTTGTCTGGGTCTGTTCATTCTAGGAACAGGATTATTTTCGTTTGATCATGATGTCCCAGAGTATAATAAATTCTTTTGAGATTAACATAAGCCAAGCAAATTAAGATCGAAGCTCTACTACAAGATAAAATTACATAAGAGTTTCCAAATGGTTTTGCTTTATTGGATTATCCTCTATGCTGTTCTTTTCCATTGCTGGGGCCAACTGAAAGCTGACTGTATGGATACAGGAAGAAAGATGGTGGCTTTGAGCCAGGGGTAGCATATCTTACTGAAATGTGGCTTTGTAAGTACGACGAGTATATTTATCTTAATTCTGACTTGACATTATGTATTCTGGTCTCATTTTGTGGGTTTCAATATTACACTAGAAACAGAACAAGAACATCTTGAATGACATTCCAAGACTTAAATAGTGCAAGCTGAGATGCCTTGCCAAATTTGCCTCTTGCTCCTGCTGAAATAGCTTTATACATTGCAGTGGCTGTCACAAGGGAAGGTGAAACTCTTGGGATAGTTGGCTCAGTTGATCTCAATTTGCAGTAGGGGACAAGCATCCTACAACCACACAGGAGGCTGTACTCTGCAAAGGTCTAACTCAGATCTGAGGCCTACACAAAGGGGGTTTTAAGGTGCCTTCTTCATTTAAGGATGGTTTGGCTTTAGGAGTTCTTTCTAGCAGTGTCACTTGAACCACAGGCTAACAGAGAATGTGACAAGGAAGAATCCAAGCTTTACCATCCTACCCTTTAATTTCCAAGAGTGTGTAGCTGTTATTTAATTGCATTACTTTAATAGCTTATTCAGCCATGCAACTTTGGAGTCTTTTCGTAAGAACGAGCTGGATAATAACTGAAACTTTGGGGAAAAAAAAAGATCTTTCTAGAACTGAAATGGAAACAATTACATCCTCATCCTTAGTCCTGCTGCTTTTTCAGTCAAGTGGCCATTGCCCAGTTACAAGGAAGGGAGACAGTGCAGATTCATATATGTTTGAACCTATATACAAGATTGTTGCAAGGTTGAATGGATAAGAAGAAGTATTATGTTGTATTTTAGCGATAATTGTGTCACTGATTAGATGTATATTCATGATATTCAGTCTCTCCGGTAAATGAAATATAGAATCCAAGAGTTCAGACCCAAACCAGATTCTACCCATTGGCTAGGCATTTTTGAGCCCCAGTAGGTTTGTAGTGGATTCTGAGACAATCACAGCCACTAATGTACTCTTTGAATGCCTATCGCACAGAACAGTCACATTGACCAGTTCCTTATACCCTAGAGTCACCTTAGTCTGACACAGACAGTAAAGCCTGTTTACCATGAGATGACAGCTCCTTGATTTGGGATCAAGGATCAAGGATCTGATTAACATGAAGATGACCTCAATACAATAGGGTGATCTTGCATCTTTATGCACTGCCCATTTCTGTTGTGCTTATGTACACTGATATTCGATCTAATTGGTTTTCTAGGGTATCTGCTTATAACCTTCTCTGTCTTTCTGCTCTACACAACATTTTAATTTTTAATATTGGGGGGTTTGATGAGCTCAGGCTGAAAAACAAGTGCCTGGTAGGACGGAGTTATTGGAAAGTGCAGTGGGGATCTAGCCTTGTGAATCTGAACTCACAGACCAGGATGAGGCCTGAATGTGAGTGATGGAGAATTCCAGCGTCCCGGAAGTCCTCAGCAGCAGTGGCAAGCATGGGGCTAGGTTAGTGATTGGCGTCCAGCAGCAGCTACAGCAGCCCCATGGACTCTCCTGTTTCACATGTCGAGTGGCCTGCAACCCAGGACATTTGTAGAGAAGCAGAGGACCTTGGGGGCAGTAGTTCCCCACCTCAGTGAGGTACACGGAGGAACATGGGAAAGGCAGCGTGGACAGTCCCAGCCAGGTCAGATCCACCAGAAGCACTTCTTCTTCACCTTCTTGGTTTTCCGCCTCAAGTCTTGTTTCTCAGGGACCGGAGGTTCTGCTGGAGACTTTGGAGGAGGAGAAGCCTCTTCAATTGGTTCAGCTTCCTCCAGACTCTGCAGAACTTCATGGAACCTGCCTTCTTGCTGCCGAAAATCATATTCTACACTGGAAAACACATAGAGTGGAAGCAAGGAATTTATTAACCCAGCATGGACTGATTTCATGTCAGTAAGTGCCCAGCTAACATAGGCATTAGGTTCATGTCCCAGATCCTTAGTTACCTACTGCCTATGTGACCTGCGGAAGATTTCACCCCCTTTTCGTTCCTCAAGTTCCTCATTCATTTATTTGTCTTCCTCACAGGGATGTTATTAATTGTAAATGAGACATGTACCAGGACAGCCTGATAGTAGATGAGTATTCAGTAATTATTGGCTCCAATCTCTCTACTCTGTATCTATCTAATGCTTCTAATAATGGATTTTTGTGCATTAATGCCCCAAACGATTTTATTATTAAGGAATTAAATGATATTGAGGAATACCCAACAAAACTAACAGCTCAGTTTCCTCATCTGAAGTGCAAATTATAATAGCGCCTCTTGGTAAAGGTGTTCTTTGGAATTAACTCAAGAGTATTTTGGTAAGTTTGTAGTTGGCGTGGCATTGTGGCACAGTGGGTTATAGTGCTGTGTACAACACGGACATCTCATAAGGGCACTAGTTGGAGTCCTGTCTGCCCACTTTCAATACAATTCCCTGATAGTGGTCTAAAAAAAAGCAGCAAGAGATGGCCCCACTCCTTGGTCCCTAGCATTCATATAGGAGACTCAGAAGAAGCTGCTTGCTCCTGACCTCAGCCTGGCCCAGTCCTGGCCATTGAGGCCATTTGGGGAGTGATCTAGTGAATGGAAGATCTCTCACTCCCTCTCCTTGTCTGTGTATGTTTCTAGGTCTCCCCTTACTCTGTAACTGACTTTAAAATAAATAAATAGATCTTCCAAATAAATACATAAACCTTTCAGATAACTCAATTAGTCTTTAAAGCTAAAGTTCATAGAATATCAAACTAAAAGATAATGTGTAACTTCTCAAATTTGGGTAGTGTTTTTGTGATACATATTTACATGATCTGTTTTGAGGATCTTTTATTTGCATGATCCATTTATTTTTAATTACTCGCATAGGTGTGAAGTCAGATAATATCCATAAAGTGCTCAGAGTGGTGTTTGGCAATATAGTAAGCTCACTATATCCATTAGCTCTCATCACTGTTATCATTAATCTGATCACTGATAACATATTATGTCTTGCTTTTAGAATTTTCAACTCAATAATTTATCTCAAGAACTTTAATATTGAGATACATTTCGGTACTCTTTCATTGACGGGCAATTTCAACCTCCATTTTTTAATGCTGTTTATTTGTGTGTATTGGAGTCATTAATGTATATCCTAACAGACTCCATTGCATTGTATTAACTGTCAAAAAACCATAAAAGTCTGAACCTGAACCCTTAGGGGCCAGGGTCCCCAACAGGTGGGATTTGGAGCAGAAGGTGAGGCCTGTGAAGAAGTTTCACAGCCCCCTTTCCCAATTTCTGCATTTCTAGAACTCCAGCTGGTATACGCCAGGCACTCTCAGTTTTCTTGTGTCTGCTCAGTCTCCCTAGAACCTCTCAGAGGGCTGGGACAGAACAAGGGAATCCAGTTAGACATCCTGCAGACTGTGCATTGGCACCCTCTATTCTCAATTGTCTGCTTTCCTTCCCAGCAGATTAATCTACAGAGGAGTTGTCAGTGCCAGGGTCTGGCTCAAAAGCCCTTAAGCTATAGATGTGCTTGTTGCCTGGTGTCCTACCAGGGCTCACAGAAGGCTCTGGGATGAAACAGAGTGGGAATAAAAAGTGCAGAAATGACGAGTCATGAAAATAGTGCATGCTTCTTGCTTAGCTAGGAATATGGTGAAATACTGGCTGTAGAGGACTGGAGACCACGTGTTGGGTGGGGACGTAGGAAACTGGTGGATGTCTTTATACCCAGCAAGAGCTCAAAAGTGGCCATCATTAAAGGGACCTGGTCCTTATCTACTTTTCCATGTCTCCTTCCAGGTTCAGAATGAATGCTGCTGAAAAGGCAGATTGTGAGTGCTTGCCTGCCTAATGAAACCCCCAAAGGGATGGTCTCAGCAGACCTTCTGAAATGAATCAGGCAGGGCTCCAACATGAGAAGGGAGTGGCCAGTACCATAGCCAAGTTAGGGATGGGAGGGATGCTAGCTGTGAAAAAAAAGTCATCTAATTGTCTCTGTATTTTTAAGGAATTTTTCCTTGATTTTTTTCTCCCTCATTTACATATTTCCTCTTTCTGGTTCTCTTTGGAACCATCTGTAAGGACATAATCTTAACTGGGTGAACCGTATGATGGATTAAACATAAGATGTGTTTTTCAAGGCTTTCTAACTTGTTAGCTGGTATCTTATAGAAATCATTTCCCATTTTTCAAGCCACAGTATCTTCATCTTCAATAGGAACACAGTACCTAGTTATAAGATATCAGTAAGATTTAGATGGCGCATGCATGTACAATATGCCGCACGAAGTGGACACTCCTTGTGTAGCCAGCTATTCCATAAAAGTTTATTGTGCATCTTCCATGTGACAGCCCCTGATTTAGATGTTGAAAAGGAATGAAAGACAGGAGACACTATTCCTGATCTTTTGGCACTGCTATTGCAGTGGCTTGATGTCCTCAGCAAACTTTAGCCAACATCAAGAACTATCAGAGACCTTTCAGCAAAAGCTCAAGATTAGCCATGTCAGTAAGCAGAGGCATCCACAGACTTACACACTGAGCTTACTTACAGGACGCATCACTGGGATTGTACCTGTTTGTCATGACCAGTGGAGTCAGTTTTTGTTTGTACCATCTGTATTTCGTTTTCCCAAGTGAAAACTGAAACAAAAAATCCACTGGCAAGGCAAGAATTGCCCTTGGCAAGTCCTTCCCTGCCCCATGGAAATGATGTAACACAGTAAATTTCAAATTTCTTTTCCCCTGCCCTACAAGCACTGGGAATATGCATGGTTCACAGGTAGACAACATTCCTATTGACAGTGCTCCTAGCGTTTGAAATAGCCTTGGCTGCCTACCGTGGGTTAAAAATGATCTTCGTCGTACAGCCCCACAAGGCAGCAGCGTAGGTACCTCTGCCTATCCTAGCATTCACTGACGCTTGCTGGCACAAAACATTTCATCCATGCATTCATCCATTTTGCTCCGTGCCTGATGTTGTGCTCCAAAGCTCTAACGATAAGCTAGCTAGACTTGAACACTGTCCCTAAGTCTCCTCCCAGGGTTCAAGATAGGTGACTAAAAGAACAAGTTTCTTTTAAGATAAGCTTCATATTTCTCTCTTCTTTCCAATCCTTGATCCTCATGCTCTTACCAAATTATATGAATGCACACATAATACACAGGCTGATAACCTCATCTTGCACATGAGGCATCTCTGCTCTGTAATCCAAACAGACAACAGCAAATCGTCTGAGTCTGTCAGGATTTACAAGTATTCTGATAAATGTCAGGGGGAAAAAATATGGCTGTGGTTGATTTCAAACTGTGTATACAACTGTCAGGCCTATGTGGAAAACAAAAAACCAGGAGGCAGAAAGTAAACAGCATCTCATAATCACAACGGGAAGTACAGTGCAGCATGGAGAGTGGAGTGAGGACTTTTGAGTTGAACGCTGTTGGGTTTGAACCAAGGCTGCACCATTTACTGGCTGAGTGACCTTTGGGGAAGTTTCTTTTCTTTTTGTGACTCAGCTGAATGTGGGGGTTATAACAGCTACCTTGCTGGGCAGTTGTATAGATGAGAAGTAATGACAGGTGCAATCACCTTGCCTGGCCGCTGTTCTCATCCCACTCTGCTCGTCTTATCTATGTCCCTTGTCTTCCTATCCCAGGGACTATATGTCTCATCTTCTTGCTGTACCTTCAGCTCTTTAGTAATTGTATACCTTGTCAGCAGAATTGCTCCTCATCCCTCCCTTCCATGTATATTCAGAGAATACCCGTTTGATGTCTCTATGGAAACACGGCAGGGTTCCATTATAATCACTAGGATTTAGGGAGCCCCTCCACCCCCTCTTGGCTGCCCCCACTGATCTTGACAGTTTAAAGGGGATTGAAAGTGACTTTCTTTTCAAGGCCAGGCAAATAGCAGAATATAGAAAAGTGTGTGCACTTTACAAAGAAATTGATTAATGTGTTTTAGGCCAAAGCAATTTATTAGCATAAAGGAAAATTGTCACTTTTCTTCTTATTCATCCATTTGACAAACTACTGTTTAGTGTGGAGGGGAGGAGAGAAAGTGTATTTTGCCCTGATGGCAGCTGCCATCTACATGGGGATGGGGCAGTGCCCTCGCCTATCTGCTTTTCTTCTTGAGCTTTAGTGGGAAGAGGAGATCCCATTAACTGCATACTTAGCCAACCCACACTGTGCTCAACGGCTCCCTGCAAGGAGTAGCAAGTTGCCAACTTGGTGAGAATTTCCAGTAAATTCTTAAGAGAGAGCCTGTAAATTCTGTGAATGACTCTGCTTTGGATTTCAGTCCAGGAATCAAGACATAGCACTGATAAACTTTTCAACTTGACCTGCTCTTTGCCGATAGGTTTTACCCTTATTATTCTGTCACCCTTACCTTTTCCCACCCTCCATATCATGTCTACACCCTACATTCCAGGTGAGATCACAAGAAGACAATGGTGAGTGCTTAGTTGATGATGCAGATTCCTGGCTCCTAATGTATGACACTTATTGGTGAAGACGTTGTTAAGAATTAGAATTCATGCAGCAGCCGTTGAGACGGCCCATAGTGGTCTAGGTGCAAGAAGTGATCCTCCAGAGGATACATGGGACTTGTGAACTCCCAGTTCTCTGAGGAAGTCCTGGAGCCTTTCAAGGAGATGTCTGAGGGTAGTGTCACCTTCCATTTAGAAAGTAAACCTGGAGTAGATGAGAACTTTAAGGCTTCCTTCTTGAAAGCCCCTCAGTAAGTTAGCTGATAGATGTATTCTGTGTCATACTAGGTAAAAAGCAGAAGGATATTTTTCAAAATAATTGGAATCAGCCAGATCCTTAAGTCATGGTGTCTGGAAGG